GATATTGTCTATTCTCGGGCCACTGTCGCTGCGTCGGATCAGTTTCAGTAAGTACCGGAACGCAGAAAAAAGTGGCGGAACCCAAAAGACGAAAATATAGAAGTTCCGGAACTGCGTTCCGCTGCGTTCCGGCCCACTTCAAGCACTGCTTGTACCCCGTTTTTTCCAGTATTTAGCACAATATTATCCTGAGCCATGATGACGACCTGGCTGTAACCGAATTCCCGTTAACTGGACACAAATAGTCGTGCGGCTTTGGGATGTCACGACTTCTGTTACCCAGCAGGGGGCACCAGGGCCCACGAAACTCACGCAAACTGGCTACCCGTCGCAGCTGAGTTATTAGTTAGTATTTTCGCTGTGCGCGAGTCCTCTGCGTGCTTCTGTCCCGCCGACTCTTACTTTCAGTTTCGCTTTTGGGCCGTAAATTCCGGGTAACGGTCATCTTCCCCGCTGCTACCGCGGAGTTAGAGCGGATAGTGCTGGTTAGTGCCGCTACCTCGTGTATTAGTTCAAGACATTAGCGCCCGGCTCTGCGAGCTCCGGGGGCCCCCGCCTGGAGGTTCGGGGTGACGGGGCAATTTGTCCGATCAGTCAGGACATAATTTGCTGCCCGCGGTGTTTCAAATGTAAACAAAACCCCACGCAATAGCCCCAAAACAAATGTAGAAAAAATAAAGAAAAAAAAGAATGGAAGGAAATAAAGAGAAAAAGAACCAAAAAAGGCAGCTTTATTTACAGCATGTCATCCCCTCGCCTAAGTTCGTTACATCCGGAAGGTACCATACTGCGCAACTTCTCAGTAAAACTTCTCTTTAATCCTAGAAAAGGTGCCCATTGTCTCGTTTTAGTAGATTTATTTTATACAACTTAGAACCACACATTCAAACTGGGTTTGTATTAAATATGGGCATGAAGACAGACTTTTTTTATTTCCCGTTTGTCGTATAGCGTTTTTTTAGACGACACAAAGTAAAAACTGAAAAAGACCGAGTGCAGTTACCCGATATTACTAAAATAAGTAATAATAACATTTCAAGCGCATTCACGACATTTATTTGAACAGACGCGCTATCATACTTTCTAGTTACATAAACGTAACTTACCCCGCAGCAGAATCCTGTTATTTAACCATTAAAAAGAAAAGGGAAATTATTTGGACCGTGCGCTTTGCAGTCCGCCAGCTTAAATGACCCCCATGATTTGCTGCTCGTCAGTATATTTCTCATAAACTGAATGGGTGTCGATTTAGATTTAATGTAGATCTACAGAACACCCTGTCAGATTGTAAGTTTTGCACGGGTTACTCCTGAGACTTATAGCCAGCGTGAGTCACGGTCTCCGCCTCTTCGGCTCCACTTCCTTAACGAAAACTGTGCTCGACGGCCGTGCAAATGTGCGAAGTACCCAGGGCTGCGGGCCACAAAGGCGGAAGCTGCTTGGTGCCGGGCCCTTCGCCAGGGACTCCACCTCAGATGAATATATCTGCATGGCCGCATCAAGTGATAAAAGTGTAGGCACCTCTGCATACAGGCAGATTAAAAACAATAATAATCTTAATATTTATAGTAATAATAATAATGATATCACCCAGACCTTGTACAGGTTAAGCAGTTATGGAATATGGATGTAGCGGAAATCATATATGTAATTATATGTAACAATGGAAATCCATTAAAGCATTAAAACTGGGTAATACAGAAGTAAAGAAACATTTAGTCTTGGAACTGAGGTGAGGCCCAGAGTACGTGTGTGAATTCAGTTTATTTCAGTTGTCCCAAGTCACATGACAAGAGTGTGTGACAGGTCATCAAGCACCAAGAAAGGCAGCAAAAGTAGGGGCTTGAACCTCTAATGAGTTTCCTGACACATGGAAACTGGCATAGACACTTTGAGGGCCAGACTGGAGATTAAATGGTCTTATATGTAAGCAGAGATAAGTTGAGGTTAGTTGAACTAAACCTGTTCAGCCTCAAGCAAGGAAGACTGAGGGGGGACATGATCCAAGTCTATAAGATTCTAACAGGTTTGGATGCTGTTCAACCAAATAGTTACTTCAGCATTAGTTCAAATACAAGAACTCGTGGCCATAGGTGGAAATTAGCGGGAGAACATTTC